CGAGGACTCTCCTCACAAGGCCAGGGGGACGCGCCCACGCCCGCGTCGGTGTCGGGCCCAAGGCGACCTGGCCCCGCCCACCCGGCGCCAGGGCGGGCCCGACGGCCCCCGCCCCCGGCCCCCAAGGCGTCGTGCGCGCCGCGGGCCCCCAGAGCTCCGCCGCCAGGATGGCGAGGAATCGGGTCCCATGGATCGACGGCGCGGCCAGGGGGGCCGAGGTGCTCCCAGAGCTCCCTGGGAGCTCACAGGAGGGGCTCCCCAGGTGCTCCCAGGGCTCCCCGGGAGGTCCCAGGTGCTCCCCGAGTGCTCCCAGGGGCTCCCCAGGGGCTCCCAGGAGCTCCCCAGGGGCTCCCCAGGTGCTCCTCCGCAGGCTCGGAAGCCCCTTGGCCGTCCGAGAAGTTTTCTAAGCCTTCCCCGAGGGCACAGACAGCTTCTCAGAAGGCCGGAGGGCTTCCGAGAAGCCCCGCCGCCTGCTGAGAGGGCCTTCTCCTTCTCACTTCCCCCCTGCTCGCAGGGAAGGTGTCCCTGAGCAAAGGCGCCCTGGAGGGCGCGAAGTCCTCCTCGTCCTCAAGGCGCCCCTCAAGGGCGCCTTGAGGGTGTCCCTCCGATCCCTCCTCGCCCTCCTCTGCTCCCCTCGGGGGGTGGGGCGAGCGCGCGAAGCCGTCCGCGCTTGCTGAGGGCAGCGGGTCCCGTGGAAGACCTCGCGCCGCTCTCGGACGGTCGCGGGGCCCTTCCCGGCCCCCCCGGGGCCCTCCACCAAGAGCCCCAGAGCATGAAGAGCTGGTCCGGGAGGTGAGCCCGGGGGCGACCACGCGAGGGGTGAGGACGTGGGGCAGGGATACCATGGCCAGGGCCACGATATCGTCGCTGGTGCATCGCCAATGCATCGCCGATGCATCGGCGATACATTGGCGATCCGGCACAGTCCTCCCAACCCATCCATTCGAACCCCATCTAGGAGGCCTCTAACCATGGCCAGCGCCATGATACCTCCCTGATTCCACGGCGGCAAATTATCATCCCCTCACGTTCCAGGGCCCCCCCTCCTCCGCGCACGTGTCTCGGGCCATGGTGCGCCTTTCCCCCCTCTTCCAGGCCCCCCTCTTCTCTGTGCCCCCCGAGCGGCCCCCAACCTGAAAGCACAGGTCTGCCCATGTTTGACAGAAGAAGTCGGCTCTCTGACGCTACATTGATTCTCTCATGAGCATAGTCGACATCGCAGATCGAGGGGGGGGGAAGGCTGGGAAGGGGCATGCCGCTCCTTGACAGAAACCTCGCCCCGATTTGTGGCCGCCGCAATCGCCGCGGCAATCTCCCAAACTGACCCGCAGCTTTGGTTCGCTTTCGGATACACCACGCAACGGAGATCTCCGGCGCGCCCGAGAACCCATGAGAACTCCCCCCCCCCGCAACCCGGAGAGCGCAGCGCTTCCTGGGAGCTAGAGCTCCGGCCACTCATCGCCCGGAGGGCGCCGACCCCCAATCGCCCACTCATCGCCGGGGCCCGATCGCCCACCTGGCCCAGGGGTGAGAGGGAGGGTATCGGTATAGTCGACGCGCTGCCCGTGCTTGAGGACCCTACACGGGTCACGGAGAGGGAGGGCGGGAGGGAGGACGGGCTGAAGTTTTCGCAGGCTCTCGTCGGTCCCCGTTGGCTTTCCGGCAGCGGAAGCTCTCCAGCAGCGGCACCTCGCCGAGAGCGCTCCGGGGGAGCTCGGCTCGTCCTGAGCGGCCCGCCGGAGAGCCGAGTTAAGTGACCCGAGAGCAACGGGGCAACGCCAGGCGGGTACGGGCTCAGGGGGGGACGCATCAGCCCCCGACGGCGCACTGATAACCAATAGGGGCACGATGGCCCATCCTGACCAGCAACGTGGGTTTACTAAAGGGAGGGTTGTCCACCGCCGAATGAGGGGCACATCGCCGACCTATCGGCGATGTATCGCCGAGTCCAGCTCGATGTTACTCCCCTGAGCCGTTCTAGCCCCTAGCTTCCCCCCCCCAAAGGACCCAGAAATCGGTACGATCGAGATGAGCACGGAAAGATTTGCCACGAAGACTGACAGCAGTTCCCCATCCGTTTTGACGAGGGCTCGCTGCAGGCGTCGCCACGGGGCGCTGTCCACTTGGGACGACCAAGCGCCCGCCCAACAGCGGCCGCCGTCGGTCTGGGCTCGCATTTGCCGGTGGGCGCCGTGGCCGTTCGCTCCGTGCCCATGTCAGGCGTGCCAGTGTCGGGTCGGGCGAAAGGGGGGGATTGGGAAAGGGGGGGTTACGAAATTTGCTGCATGCAGCTGGTTTCGGCCTCACCGAGGGGCCAATTCCTCGATACATGGCCGCTCCCGGCGCCGGGAGGCGCCGTGAAAATCAGCTACGTGAGCTGATTCTCAAACCCCCCCCTTTGCTATCCCCCCCCTTTCGCCCGACCCGACAGTGCGGGGAGGTGGAGCCTCGCAGCACGGGCTCGGCACCACGCCTGCAGCTCCAGCCCCCGAGGCAGAGCACAGCCTGCGGGGGCGGGGCCCCCTGTGCTGGGCGGCGCAGCCCACGCAGGCCGTACTCTGCGACGCTCGAGCCTCAGGGTGGCCACCCGGAGATCTCCAGGGAGTCCCTGGAGGCAAGGAGGCTTCCGGAGGCCACGAGGGAGCACAAAAAAACCCGCTGAGAGAGGGTCGAACGTCGACCTCCTCGGGCCGCGGTCCTGAGTGGTTGGCGTCCCCCGCCGTACCTGGCAGCACCAGCACTCCAGAGGCAGGAGGGCACAAAGCTCGAGGAGAAGAAATACTGGCATAACATGTATTCTGGATGGGGCAGAGATCGCACCCCCCCATCCTTGGGTCCGTTGGGGGTGTTGGGCACGTGCTGTCGAAACGAGTGGAGGGGGGGATGGAGGAGAAGGAGGAGGAGAAGGAGGAGGGGGAGGAGGAGGCGGAGGAGGAGGAAAAGGAGGAGGGGGATGATGAGGAGGAGGAGGAGGAGGAGGAGGAGGAGGACGAGGAGGAGGAGGAGGGGGTGGAGGAGGGGGAGGAGTGGGGATGGGCAAGCCCCGTCGGAAGGTTAGTCGCCCACCCCTCGTTTGATAGCCCATGCAGAGTCAGCTTGCGGAGCTCCGTGCGGATTTCGCGGATCGGCGCTAGGCCCCCGTACTATTGGCACGCGCCGAGAGCGCGCCAGGGGGCGGCGCCGCCCCAGGGCCGATCCGGGAAGAACTCTGCGAGGAGCTCCGAACGTTTACACTTAAGTCGGGCCTGTCCTTCCACAGGAGGAATATTCATAAATAGTCAAACATAGTCTGGGGACCATTTTTCATGATGTTTGATCATTTTGGGCATGTTTGGGATATGTTCCATTAGTCTTCCAAAATCCGCCTCTAGGAGGACATGCCCGACCGAAGTTTTTCTCAAGACGACATACCCATCGATCGTTAAAATTTGTATTTTGGGATTCTCAGGTTCCAATCTGCTTTAAGCGCCTTCCTACTTCAATGATCGACTGGCTTCCCCTCTTCCCTCCTCTTCAGGGGGCGGGTGGAGACCCACTCTACTTCAAACGCCTTCCTACTTCATGTTTCTAGCTACTTCTTCTGACCGATGGGCCATTCAGTTCGGTGCCTTTCTTTTCCTCAAAACGGCATGCGCCTGAATTTTGGGAGGTCCGCGCGGCTCGGTCGATGCTGAACGATCGGACATGCCGGAGACGACCGATCGATCAAGCTTGAACGATCCCTGCAGTGTCAGGAACCAACGCCGAGGTCGGCACCACACGAACCCGCGCTATGGACCGCAGCTCCCCCGGTTGTGGGCCCGCCAGCTGCCCCCCCACACGCAGCCCCTCGCAGGCCCGCGCGGACTGCCCCGGTCGGTGCCGAGCCTCCCCATCCCAGCTGTCGGCGGGTGCGGGGGAGGGGGGCCCGGGGCCCCGGCCCGAGAAGGCCGCGCGGGCCTCCCGAAGTGCACCCAGGGGGGGCCGGGTGCACACGGCGTGGCCGGCCTGGGCAGGAGCTGGAGACACGCGTCGCCATGGTCAACTGCACGTAAGAGTGACCCCTCGCCGCCAGAGTGGCCTTTGGTGCGGGCTCGTTGGGATCTCACGATCGTTGATCAAGATGGGGTAGCAGCGGCTTGTGCGCTTGGTCCCCCCGCGGCCCAACAACAGTCCGCGCACCAAAGGTCACTCTTAATTACCCGGGGTCACTCTTGCGTGTAGCCGACATGGGGGAAACGGTTCCTGAGGGAAACGGGCCCTCGGATTTTGCACCGTCTGCGGGCTCCCGAGGCCCTCCACGGGCCCCGGGACTGCCAGGAAACGACTCAGGATGAAGGGCTGGCCCCGGGTCCAGGACCCAGTTCCCTCAGGACACGTTCCCCAGTGCTAAACGTGGCGGGTTCCAGAATCAGGCCTCGCCCGCGAGGAT